TGCTAGATGTGAGCCACTACACCTGACCAGGTTTTTTTATATAAGCATTTAAATGTGTAAGCTCTCTCTGAACTTGCTTTAATTCATCTATAAGTTTTGGTCTGTTTTTATTTAGTTAGAAATACTTCATAAAAATTTTATTTTCTATTATTCTTTGACTCCCCCCCACTTGATTACTTCAAAGTACATTATTTAATTTCCAAATATTTGAGACTTATCTGGATATTTTATTGAGATCTAATTTAGCTACATTGTTGTAAGAGATTATATTCCATATGGATTTGTCTTTAATCTATTAAGACTTGTTTTATGTCCTGTCTTGGTGAGCGGCCCATTTCCTCTTGAAAAGAGTATGTGTTGTGAAATTGTTGAAAGTGTTTTTCTATAAATGTCAAATAAGGTTTGATGGTTGATAGTATTTTTTATTTTTTATTTAATTTTTTTTTTTTTTTGAATTGGAGTCTCATTCTGTCGCCCAGACTGGAGTGCAGTGACCGCTCCCGGCCATTGCAGCCTCGACCTGCTGGGCTCCGGCGATCCTTCCGCCTCAGCCTTCCGAGTAGCTGGAATTACAGGCACGCGCTACCATGCCCGGCTAATTTTTTTTTTATTTATTGTAGAGATGAGGTCTCGCCAAGTTGGCCAGGTGGGTCTCGAACCCGCAGGCTCAGGCAATCCTTAGCCTCCGAAAGCGTGGGATTACAGGCTGAGCCACTGAGCCCGGCTGATAGTATTTTTTAGATATGCTAGTTATTTACAGAATTTTTCCCCTTTAGTTTGATCCTTTGAGTTACTAACAAACATATTAACATGAACCATGACTTCAGACTTTTTTTTAATCTCATTTTACTTTGTCAAATTTTGCTTCATGTATTTTGAAACTGTTATTAGTTCCCTGTACCTTTGTGATTGTGACGTCTTCCTGATGTATTTACTCTTTTATTATTATAGCGTATCCCTTTGTGTCTCTAGTAGTAATTTGAAATCTGTCTTATAGTACAGCGGCTACATCAGATTTCCCATGGTTAATGTTTGTATATATTTTTCCATCTTTTTACTTTAGTCTATTTATGTCTTTATTATTTAAAATATGTCCTTGTAGACAGAATATATTTGAGTCTTGTTTTTTTGTAAGATTCTTTGGTTTGTTTTAGGGTGGCATTTTGGGTTTTTTGTTTGTTTTGGGTTTTTTTTTTTTTTTTGGTTTGTGTTAAGTTAAGGTCTCACTTCAAATTTTTCATAGTCTCACTATGTTTTCCAGTCTGTTCTCAAACTCCTATGCTCAAGCCATCCTTCCACTTTGGTCTCCCAAAATGCTGGGATTACAGATGTGACCAACCAAGCCCAGCCCCACTGATCTTTTTACTGTCTTCAAAGTTTTGCACTTTCTAGAATGTCATATAATTGAAATACATAGCATTTTCAGATTTACCTCTTTAATTTTGTAATACCTTTAGGTTCCTCCTAGCCTGTTTTTATTTATCTTGTCCAACATTCTATTGTATTTTTTGTGTCAGTCAAATACATTTTAATAATTTATTTTCATTCCTCTGCTGACTTTTTATTGATATGTTTGTGGTTTTTCTTGTTGTTGTTACTCTAGGCTTACAGTATGCATCTTTAACTTAAGATTTTCTGAGCATTAGCAGTAAATTAGTTAAGGTAAAAATGCATCAATCTTGCAACATTATAGTTTCATTTATTAATACCCCCATCTTTTGTTTTTTTGTTTGCCGTGTATGTGATGTTTATGTTTATAATAAATGGTATTAGCATGTTTACTTTAAACCAAAGGTCTATAGCCCACAGGCCAAATGCAACCTACTTACTATTTTTGTACAGATTGTGAGCTAAGAATGGTTTCAATGTCTGAAAATTTTTAAAAGAAACAAACGTATTTCTGACACATGAAAATTTTATGAAATTTAAATTTCAGTATCCATAAATGTGTTTTATTGAAACACAACTTTGCTCATGTATATTTTATCTATGGGCTGCTTTCATGCCAAAATAGCAGGTGTTTACCAACTGCTGCTTAAAACCATCATAACTTTTGGAAGAAGAAATTAACATTTATAGTCTCTTATGTTTAACTGTTCTCATCTTCATTTCTTCTTAAAGACCTTAGTTATCATCCAGTGTTGTTTAGGCCTTCATCCTGGAGAATTTCCTTTATTAACATTTGTGATGGTGCAGTCCTGCTAGTGATGAATTCTCTCAGGTTTTATCTGAAAATATTTTTGTTTCCTTTACTTTTAATCGAATGGTTTTGCTGAATCTAGAATTCTTAATTGACATTATCTTTGGCTTTTCAGCAGTTTGATTAGGGTTTGGCTAAGTGTGATTTTCCTTGGTGTTAATCCTGTTAGGGTTCATTAAGATCTTTGAATATGTAAATTAAAAGCTTTTGTTGGGCAGGGGTGGAGTTTTGTTAAATTTTGATGTTTTAAGCTGGGCTCAGTGGCTCAGCCTGTAATCCCACGCCTTTGGGAGGCTGAGGTGAGTGGATTGCCTGAGCCCGCGGGTTTGAGACCCGCCTGGGCAACTTGGTGAGACCTCATCTCTACAATAAATAAAAAATTAGCCGGCCGTGGTAGCACGCGCCTATAATTCCGGCTACTCGGAAAGCTGAGACGGAAGGATCGCCGGAGCCCAGCAGGTCGAGGCTGCAGTGGCCGGGAGCGGCCACTGCACTCCAGTCTGGGCGACAGAGTGAGACTCCAACTTAAAAAAAAATAATAAAATAAAAATTTTGATGTTTTAGTTCATTGTTTTCAAATTTATTTCTGCCTCTTTTTTAATTTCCCCATTGTGGGACTCTAGTTACATCTGTGTGGGATTACTTTGAAACTGACCCACAATTCTTTGTGATTCTGTTCATTTTTCGTTCTTTTTTCTTTCTATTTAGATTGCTTATTTTCTGTTGATGTGTTCACAACGTTACTGATTCTTTTTCTATTTCTGCTCCACTATTGAGCTCATCTAGTGAATTTTTCTTTTTAGTTATTGTACTTACCAGCTCTGAATTTTAATTTGTTTCTTTTTTGTAGTTTACATTTTAGATACCACTCTGTGTTTTTTATTATTTCATGGCACACATTTAAAACAACTGCTTTGAAGTTCTCTTTTGGCAAAATCCAGCATTAGAGCCCATTAGGAATTAGTTTTTGTGGCTGTCTTTTTTGACTATGGGTCATATTCCCCCTACCACTTTTTACTTTATTTTGTTTTCATGTCTAGTCATTTTTGCTTGTAAAGCTGGACATCATAAATAATATTGTAATCCAAATTGTATTATATCTGTTATGTTTTTCCGGGGATTATTGGGATTTTTTTTTTTTTTAAGTAGGCAATTAGCTTGCTAGGCCTCCAGTCTCAAACTTTGTCTCCCCATCCTCAGTGTGAAGCAGTTGGTATATTCTTTAAGCTTCTAGCTCCTATTTTTTACCCTAGCTCCCTAAAAGTGGATAGGTTCTCCCTTGGTATTTATGTACTTTAACTTTCACTCAAAGAATTGATGAGTTTTTATACTTAGATTTTGGAGCTTACTTCCTACAGTTCTTTTTTGCTGGAGTTTTACTCCATGTACTTCCTGCTACTTTGTCAGCCCGAGCTCTGACACCTCATTCCAGTAAGCCTTCAGTTTTACTCTTCTTGAGCTGTGATCAGTTTGTGGAATACCACCAGTCAAGAAGCATAAATCTTAGAATCTTGCGAGGTACTCTTTTATTTTTCAAGACTCTTTTTCGGTTTATTTCCATCTGCTTTTTGCTAAGCCTTCTGCGGTCTCTTCAACACATACATATTTTATCAATCAAGGGTTTTAGCAGAGTTTAAACTCAGATTTTGAGTCTCATCCCTTCTCTAGTTCTCTCACTTCCAGAATTAGCCTAAATTTCCTGTTGATCAGCTAGTTCTAAAGTATGTCTTCGTCACCATTGAGGACATAAGTGGTTGTTTGATGCCACAAGAATTGTGAGGTTTCAAGTATCTTGATGCAAAAAACCACAGAATTAACAATCCTTACACACTGCAGTTGCTGTTCTTCAAGGATAAGTTACTCTCCAGTTTCTGCCTGCTGTGGTTGCTTTCCAGTGCCGCCTTCTAATTGTTTATTGTCTGTTGTATCCAGATTTTATAATTGTCATCTGAGTGAACATTTCTCTGACCATTTCACTCTGTTCTTGCTGTAAGATGAAAGCCCCATCATGCATTTTAAAACCATTTTCTTCCTGTATAACATACTCATGTTGAAAGGGAAAAAATTTATCTCCTTAGTAAAGCCTGAGAAATGGTTCTACCCTTGTGATACATGCTGTCTTTTGTACATACTTCTGTGTTGTACCAGTAACACCTTCTTGCAGGTTTGTGTTTACACATACTTCCTTTTTTTTGAATTGGAGTCTCACTGTCGCCCAGACTGGAGTGCAGTGGCCGCTCTTGGCACCGCAGCCTCGCCTGCTGGGCTCTGGCGATCCTTCCACCTCAGGCTTCCAAATAACTGGAACTATAGGCGCGCGCTACCACACCCGGCTCATTTTGATTTATTGTAGAGATGAGGTCTCGCCAAGTTGCCCAGGTGGGTCTCGAACCCGCGGGCTCAGGCAATCCACTCACCTCAGCCTCCCAAAGGCGCGGAATTACAGGCTGAGCCACCGAGCCCGGCTTGTGTACTTTCTAGCAAGTATTTGTTGCATGCCTCTGGGCTATAACTTCGTTAGCAGAACAGTATTTTGTTTGTCTTGGCACCTCAATAAACTAATACAAGTTTGAGCATAAGGTGACTTTACAGTAAATATTCTTCCAATGTGTTATTTAAAAACTCAGTGGCAGGTATTTCAACCCAGATTTTTGTTTTCCCTACAGTGTAAATCATAAAACAGGGGAAAATGATAGTCTTCCTTTAGAAGTGTTTACATAAGTGCCACAAAAGAGCAGGGTCTAAAAATAGTTCACAATTTCTAGTCGACCTGATCTGATTATAATTCTGTCCATTACAGGGATCAGTGTCATTCAAAGATGTGACTGTGGACTTCACTCAGGAGGAATGGCAGCACCTGGATCCTGCTCAGAAGACTCTATACATGGATGTGATGTTGGAAAACTATTGCCACCTCATCTCTGTGGGTAAGAGGAAAACTCTCTTTGAAACTTTCAGTAGCATGCAATTCCTCTTAAAGTGCCTAAAGTATGTGCAGTCATAAATTTCAGGAGTAAGAGGTGATGAATTCCTTTGGTTAGCAGAAGGAATTATTGTGTCTTCACTTGCTCAGCGCAAGGTGGTTTGTTTATTGTTACACAATTGAGTATCTTAATTTGCAGTACTAAACAATGCACCTTACTCATTTTTCAAAGGTATTAAATATTAAATGCCAACCAACTTAGCATCAAGTCTTAGTCTCCTCTATTTAATCAGGGTGTCACATGACCAAACCCGATGTCATCCTCAAGTTGGAACGAGGAGAGGAGCCATGGACATCATTTGCAGGTCATACCTGCTTAGGTGAGTTTCTGACTCCCAGGCAAATGCAGTCTAGTGGAATGTAAGTTTAAAGGGGTTAAGGGGTGGGGGTGGTACCATTGAAATCTCTTAGTAGTATCTTTTTAAAGTCTTCTGACCTCTGAAATGACTTTCATGCCTATAAAACTCAAACCCACACTTTTACATGTCACTCTCCCAGATAATATTATTTTCTAGTTTGCTTGGTAGTATCAAAGATATTTGCCACTCTTAATTTACCCAAAATGTACTATAAGCCTTCTTTCTTTCATATCTTTTTTCTTGCTTTGTTTCTCTTTTTCTAGCATTCTCAGTCTTCATTGCCATTGTGGTACAGTTCTTTTCTTCTAGGCACTCTTAAATCTATCTTTAAAAAGAGAGGAAATTCTTGGTTAATGATCTTCTCCTTAGTTAATTACCATTTTCTTTCCTTACCTTTCCTTCATAATACCTCAGATTTGTTTTCTTTGCTAAGTCTAAGTTCCCATTCTTACCACAAATTTAGCTGTTAATTTTAAAATTATCACTTGCCTCAGCCCAGCCTGAAAATTTCAAAGTTACCATTTTCTTCCATTAAAACTTTGTGGTTCATTTTATTTTATTTTTTTTATTTATTTATTTATTTATTTTTTGAGTTGAAGTCTCACTCTGTCGCTCAGACTGGAGTGCAGTGGCCTCTCCCGGCCACCGCAGCCTCGACCTGCTGGGCTCCGGTGATCCTTTCGCTTTAGCCTTCCGAGTAGCTGGAACTACAGGCACGCGCTACCACGCCCAGCTAATTTTTTTATTTATTGTAGAGATGAGGTCTCACCAAGTTGCCCAGGCGGGTCTCGAACCCGTGGGCTCAGGCAATCCACTCACCTCGGCCTCCCAAAGCGCAGGATTACAGGCTGAGCCACCGAGCCCGGCTGTGGTTCATTTTAAATGACCAATCGTCACTGCTGAAATCATCCCTTCATTTGGGTAAAGCATCACTAACTCATTCTTATCCTGATTCCTTGAATGTTATTTATAACTTGGTCTCTTTTCTTTACCATTGTGGTCATATTGCCTGAAAAATGGCTAGCACATAATAGTCACATCGATTTTACTTTTTTAAAAATAAATGTATATGTTTTCACTGTGCTCTCATTCATTTCTCTAATTTGTCCTCAAGTGATTTAAGTTATAATAATTCCATCCATCCTCAGAACTCATACTTCTTGCTTTATGTAAATGGCTCTAACATTTCTCCCACGTTTACTCTAGTCCATTAGGAGTCCCACAGTCTGTCATCTCATAACATGTGAGAAATCAAAATCACTAACTTTCCCAGCTCTTAAATTTTTTCCAGCCGGGCTCAGTGGCTCAGCCTGTAATCCCACGCATTGGAAGCTGAGGTGAGTGGATTGCCTGAGCCTGCAGGTTCGAGACCTTTGTATCTTTCCTGGGCAACTTGATGAGACCTCATCTCTACAATAAATCAAAAAACAAAAATTAGCTGGGCATGGTAGCAGGCACCTATAGTTCCTGCTACTTGGAAGGCTGAGGTGAAAGGATCGCCGGAGCCCAGCAGGTCGAGGCTGCGGTGGCCGGGAGCGGCCACTGCACTCCAGTCTGGGCGACTGAGTAAGACTCCAACTCAAAAAAAAAAATAAAAAAAAAAAATTTTTTTTCCTTTTATCTATTTCTAAATTATTTTGTTCTTGCTGTGAAGTCAGCTTGACTCTTCTGTTTCTGTTACCATTTCATATGGATCTCTTCACAATTTGTGTGAAATATATTGACATCGCCCCCATTCCCATTTCTCCTGAAATCATACAAAATGATAACTATCTTATTTCATATCTTTATTACTGTAATTACCAGTGTCTTTGTTACAATTTTTGCTCCAAGTCATTCACTGTATATTGTTACTTTCTTAACAAGATAGACCATCACTTGTTTCCTCCTTTTTTTTCAGATTTTGAATTTTTATTTCAATAGCTTTAGGGGGTTCAAAGAGTTTGTGATTACTAGATGTGTTGTATAGTGGAAAAGAAATCTAGGTTTTAAGTATACCCACCACCCCACCTGTGTACATTGTACCCAATAGTTGATATTTCATCCAACCAGTTCTTTCTAATATTCCCCTTCTGAGTCTCGTGTGTCAGTAATAGCATTCTGGATGCCTTTGCAGATCCTTAGTTTAGCTCCCATGCAGGTGAGAACATGCAGTGTTTGGTTTTTCTCTTCCTGGGTTAGTTCACTTCTGATGATGTGTTCTCCAGTTCAATCCAAGGTGCTGCAAAAGACATTGTTACTTCATTCTTTTTGATGGCTGAATAGTATTCTATGGCATATATACACATTTTTTATTATCCACTGATCAGTTGATGGGCATTAGGTTGATTGCACATCTTTGAAATTGTGTGCAGGTGTCTTTTTTGTATAAGGACTTCTGTTCCTTTGGGTAGATACCTAGTAATGGGATTGCTGAATTAAATGGTAGATCTTCTATACTGTTAGTTCTCTGAAAAATCTTTATACTGCTTTCCATTGAGTTTGTACTAATTTGCACTCCCACCAACAGTGTATAAGTGTTCCCTTTTCACCACATTCACATCAGCATCTATTTTTTTTTATTTTTTATTATTGCCCGTTCTGACTGCTGTAAGGTCGTATTTCATTGTGTTTTTAACTCACGTTTCCCTGGTAATGAGTATTGTTGAGCATTTTTTCATATGTTTGTTGGGCATTTGTGTAACTTTTGAGAGATGTGTGTTCATGTCATTTGCCTGCTTTTTAATGAGACTGTTTGCTTTTGTCTTGCTGATTTGTTTGATTTATATGTAGATTCTGAATAGTACTCCTTTGTCAGACATATAGTTTGCGAATATCTTCTCCCATTCTATAGGTTGCCTCTTTACTCTGTTGATTATTTATTTTGCTATGCAGAAGCTTTTTAATTTAATTAAGTCCCACTTATTTATTTTTGTCCTGGGTTTCCTTTGGCTTCACATGCTAGACCCTGGTAAAATTCCTTTGCATAGCATGTGTGTAAATTTTTATAAGCTGTTATTAATTATATTCTTTTCTAGAGGAAAACTGGAAAACTGAAGACTTTTTAGTGAAATTCAAGGAACACCAAGATAAGTATTCTAGATCAGTTGTATGCAGCAATCACAAAAAACTGGTTAAGGAGAAGACTAATATATATGAAAAGATATTTACTCTAGGCAAAAACACTGTTAAGTCAAAAAATCTAGCTGTTGAGTATGATACACATGGAAGGATTTTTAAAAATGTTTCAGAATTAATCATCAACAATCTAAATCCTGCAAGAAAGAGACTTAGTGAATATAATGGATGTGGGAAATCACTCCTCAGTACTAAGCAAGAGACAGCTTATCCTGAAGGCAAATCGCATAACCAAAGTGGCAAAACTTTCAGTCATAATGAAGTACTTATACATTATCAGAAAATGGAAATTCCAGCACAGTCATTTGGATATAATGATTGTGATAAATCATTCCTTAAAAGGGGTGGCCTAGTTACACATAATAGAGCTTACAGAGCAGAAGATTCATCTGTATATAATAAAAAGAGAAGAGCAAACAATATTGAAAAAAAACATACATGCAGTGAATGTGGGAAATCCTTCTGCAGGAAGTCAGTATTGATTCTGCATCAAGGAATTCACACAGAGGAAAAACCCTATCAATGTCATCAATGTGGAAATGCATTTAGAAGGAAGTCATATCTCATTGATCATCAGAGGACTCACACAGGAGAAAAACCCTTTGCTTGTAATGAATGTGGTAAGTCCTTCCGCCTAAAGACAGCCCTCACAGATCATCAGAGAACACATACAGGGGAGAAATCATATGAATGCCTACAATGTAGGAATGCCTTCAGGTTAAAGTCACACCTCATTCGTCATCAAAGAACTCACACTGGAGAGAAACCATATGAGTGTAATGACTGTGGGAAGTCCTTCCGCCAGAAGACAACACTCTCTCTACATCAAAGAATTCATACAGGGGAAAAACCCTATATTTGTAAAGAATGTGGGAAGTCCTTTCATCAGAAGGCAAACCTTACTGTACATCAACGAACTCATACAGGGGAAAAGCCTTATATATGTAATGAATGTGGGAAATCCTTCTCCCAGAAGACAACCCTTGCTCTTCATGAGAAAACTCATAATGAGGAGAAACCCTATATTTGTAAAGAATGTGGAAAGTCCTTCCGCCAGAAGACAACCCTTGTAGCACATCAGAGAACACATACAGGGGAGAAATCTTATGAATGTCCTCACTGTGGGAAGGCCTTTAGAATGAAGTCATACCTCATTGATCATCACAGAACTCATACAGGAGAGAAACCGTATGAATGTAATGAATGTGGGAAATCATTCAGTCAGAAGACTAACCTCAATCTACATCAGAGAATTCATACGGGGGAGAAACCCTATATCTGTAATGAATGTGGGAAGTCCTTTCGCCAGAAAGCAACCCTCACTGTACATCAGAAAATACATACAGGGCAGAAATCCTATGAATGTCCTCAGTGTGGGAAAGCCTTTAGCAGGAAGTCATACCTCATTCATCATCAAAGAACTCATACAGGAGAGAAACCATATAAATGTAATGAATGTGGAAAGTGCTTCCGCCAGAAGACAAATCTCATTGTGCATCAGAGAACTCACACAGGTGAGAAACCCTATGTTTGTAATGAGTGTGGTAAGTCCTTCAGTTATAAGAGAAACCTCATTGTCCACCAAAGAACTCACAAGGGAGAAAACATAGAAATGAAGTAAGTGGTCTGATTTCTTTGTGAATCCATTCCAAATTATTGTAGACCTTTAATTTCGAAAAGAAAAAGCATGCTTAAACATGTTAATGTAATTTTAATCCCAAATGTAATAATAGTTATTAACTTAAGGTACCATACTACATAACTATTTATCTACCGTTTACTAGCATATAAAATGGGTATGATCATTATTATTGAACACTATCAATTATGAAGCTACTTTTGAAAAATTTCAACTACTCCTGCTGACTCAAATAATTTTTTTAGAACACTTAATAATACAGAGGCAAGATACAAAATTATTATAAGCATCAATCTTCTTAAGAGAAAGAAAATATTTATGAACTATACTGCTCATAGCACTCTGTGAAATAAGAAATATTCCCTAAAGTAACCACTTCCCTAGCCTCTAACATCATAAAGTAGTTTTTGCATGTTTTTGAACTTTGTATATTTTATCATACGTCATGAATTATTTTGTGTCTTCCTTATTTCACTCAACATTTTTAAGATTTGTACATTATTGCATGTGGCAGTAGTGTATTCATTTTCATTTGGTATACTATTCCATTTTAAGAATATACTGCTATTTATCCTGTTGAAGGATATTTGTATTTTTTATAATTTTGTGTTATAATAAAAATATTGCTATAGATATTCTTGTTTATGTCTTTTGAGTGTCTGTGTGTATATGTATTTCTTTTTATTTTATACCTAGAACTGGAATTACTCCTTTCAAGGCTATGTGTAAGCTTTTAAAGCTATGGCAGGTAGTGCCAAACAACTCAGACATTTCTCAGCAGATGATACATTTTTGGCAGAAATGGTTCTAAATGTAATCGATATGGAAAGGTCTTTAGTAGTCATTCAAACTGAAGACTTTCTACTAAAAAGAAGCCTTGTAATTTTATAATTGTGAGAAGGCTGTCATGGATATATAAGTACAGTAAATGTAGAAAGGCCTTTAGCTGTCAGTCGACCCTTAAACACAAAACCAAAAAATTCATATTGGAAGGATATCCTGTAGTTGTCATGATTTTAGGGGTACATTTGGCTATAGCTTACGTGTTATTTAATGTCAAAGAATTCAAATTTATACAAAAAGGAATGCTGAGAAGGAAATAGGTGAGTACAATTTGAAAATATAGGAGTCACAGTTGACAGAATTTTGAGAACCATATTCTATATAAAATAAGCCTTTGATACCTTCATCTATCTCAGGAAATGTAGCTCTCTGAAAATCTCAAGTAAATCACTAGAGAGATTTTAATATTTGAAAATTTGAAATCTGCTAAAACAATAACATCCACGGTATCTTTTCCGTGAGAATTATAAGCTCAGCAGCAACTTGAACAGTGTTATTGAAGGTCCTTCTTCAGAAGGATTACTTGTAACCAACGTTTACTACATATATGAATTCATTGTGTATAATAAAAATACACAAAGTAGAAATTTACATTTATTTTTACAAAAAATTTAGAACTGTAAACCATATCTGAGTAGCAGGAATATGATTTGTGGTTCAAGTATTTGACATTAAAAATATTAAACAAGACCTCTGGCCTATAGAAAGGAAAAACTATTGCCTATCAATAGTAAATAAAAACATGCTTATCAGTCCTGATCTTACAGATAATTTCAGAGAAAAAAAATAAAACTGGATGATGAGGAAAAAGATAAAAGTGTATACTCGAGGCTAGGCAGAACGGCTCATGCCTGTAACTGCAGCACTTTGAGAGACTGAGGTAGGAGGATTGCTTGAGCCCAGGAATTCAAGACCAGCCTGGGCAACATAGTGAGACCTCATCTCTACCAAAAAAAAATTACTTGGGTATGGTGGCATATGCCTGTAGTTCCAGCTACTCAGGAGGCTGAGACAGGAAGACCAACTGAGCCTAAGAGGTCCAGGCTGTGGTGAGCCATGATCATGCTGCTCCACTCCAGCCTGGCAACAGAGTGAGACCCCAGTTCAAAAAAAAAGTAGACTTGAAAGAAGTATAAGGAGCTGGGCTTGATGGCTTAGCCCGTAATCCTGCGCCTTGGGAGGCTGAGGTGAGTGGACTGCCTGAGCCCGCGGGTTCGAGACCTGCCTGGGCAACTTGGTGAGACCTCATCTCTACAATAAATCAAAAATTAGTCGGGCGTGGTAGCACGCACCAGTAGTTTCAGCTACTCGGAAGGCTAAGGAGAAGGATCACCAGAGCCCAGCAGGTCGAGGCTGCGGTGGCTGGGAGCGGCCACTGCACTCCAGTCTGGGTGACAGAGTGAGACTCCAACTCAAAAAAACAAACAAAAATACTAATGTATTGCTTCTTTCTAGTCTCTGGTTTCTCATAAGTCTGCTGCTCTTTTAATTTTTTTTTTTCCCTCTAAAAGTAAGGTGGAGTTTCTATCTTGCTACTGTCAAGATTTTTATCTTTCGTTTTCAGAAGTATGACGTGTTGTACTGTTGCATTTGGGGGGGCACAAAGAAAGTTAATTTTGTTTGAAGTTCACTCCGCTTCTTGAATTTGTTTATGTCCTTTGCCGTAGGAAGTTTTCAGCAATTATTTCAAGTACTTTTTCAGCTCTATCATATTTTTCCTCTCCTTCCAGGATTTCAGAGGCATGACTATTTGCTCTTATGTTATACTCTCACAGGTTCCTCAGTACTTTCATTTTATTTTTTTCAGCCTATTTTCTTCCTTGTTCGAATGGGGCAATTCCTATTTTTATATAATACAGTTCACTGATTCTTTTTTTCTATTTCTGCTTTTCCCAGCCATTGAGCTTGAGTTATATTTTTCAATTCTTTTCTTTCCATTTGGTTATTTTGTATGTCTTCTCATTTATTTTCCACTTCTTTGTTGTGAGTTTGCATTTCATTTATTTCAAGTGGGTTTGTTATTGTTCAGGCATTTTTATGATGTGTGCTTTCTGTTATATAATTCTAAGACCTTTATCTCCATGCATTCTTGTCCTTTTTCATTCAGTCTGAGATTTTCCTAGTTATTGATATTCAGTTGAAATGTGGACATTTTGTCTATTATATTATTAGATTCTAAGTTTTATTTAAACCTTGGTTTACCTGACTTTCTCTGACAACCCTCTGGCATGCAGAAGGGGAGTGTGCCATTTTGCTCTGCCACATAAAGGGTAGAAATCCAGGTTTCCCACTCACTCTGCACTGATAACCTGGGTGAGGGTGTTAACCACCTTTTTATAGCTCCCCTGCTAAGAGAGGAGTGGCTTATTGCTTTCCACTTGCCCTCCATATACACCAGAGAAGCAGGGGTGGCTCTGTTAGACTGGGCAGTGGTAAAGATTGTGACTCTGCTTACACCTATTCTGACACTGACCTAGCAGGTAGTGTGAGGAGTACCTCTTCACTACTGAGTAGGGGAAATAGAAATCCAGGTTTCTCACATGACTCCAGGGGCCCTCCTAACTGAAATCTGGGATGATAGTCCAGGCTTCCTTCTTCAGTCTTCCATAAGCCATCCAAGAGGGAGGTTGTTAGGGCCTGTTCAAAGTAGAAGTGTAGGTTCCTTACTCGGCCTTTGCTAGTGTGGGTGTGAGGCACCACAGTTTGGTGGGGGTTTTTTGGTGATTTCTGGTTGGAGTAGAACAATTGCCTAAAAATCTTCTGTCTGCTAGGCTTTTCTTCTGGTCCTTTATTTTCAGAGAGCAGGCTTTTGTTAGGACTATTTATAATTACACCTGTTAGTGTTTTCAGGCTTCTTGCTTCTTTAGCTCCAAGTTGGGATATATGAGACAAAAAGAAAACCCAGGGAATCCACCACTGTGAATTCATCACTTGTTACTTAGATCCAGATCAATTTATAGGATTATCTTTTTTAATAGCTACTCCATTGTGTTAATAAACAAAATAGTTTCTTCTGTTTATTGATGTTTAGATTTTTCCAATATCTTGTCATTACACATGCTCCAGTGAACAATTTTATGTAAATGTATTTTCATATTGTTGGAAGTATATTTTTAAGATAAATACCTAGACGTGAGATTGCAGAGTCAAAAGGTAAACATGTAGTTTTGTTAACAAACATCTAACAAAAGTTACAGTTTTGCACTACCACCAGTGTATGCCATGGCTGTATCTCCACAGCCCCACCAACAGTTTGTTGTCAACTGTTTTAATTTTTGTCAGCTTGATAGGAGCAAAATTGTAGTCTGTTATATTTCTCTTATGTATGAAATATAACATATTAATTTTTGTCAGCTTGATAGGAGCAAAATTGTAGTGTTATATTTCTCTTATGTATGAAATATAACATGTTCTCAAATGTTTAACATTTTAATTTTTTTGTGAATTGCATAAGATAAAACACTTAAAATGTTAATGTTTCTCTGTTACAGTGTTGTGAGTTCATCAATTTTTAAGTTATTGTCTGTATGTTAGGATTGAGTAAATAAGTCAGGGGCTGGGTTTCTCACATTTGAAGAATGGAAATAGAAATATGAAATGGAAAAAGGTAAGGAAGAAATTTGTTAGGTAGGATTGTAGTTGAATGCATCACGATGATGTCATCTCCATTTTAATATGGAAATATAATAAACATGTTTGTGTATTTCCAAACTCTGTCCACTGTAAGACTGTAAGGGCCTAGAAGCAATGACATCACAGTAGCAGCACTGAGCACATCAGCATGCACATCTTGCTTTTCTTTTTTTTTTTTTCCAGTTGGAGTCTCACTCTGTCACCCAGACTGGAGTGCAGTGGCCACTCCCGGCCACTGCAGCCTCACCTGCTGGGCTCCCGCCATCCTTCCACCTCAGCCTTCCAAGTAGCTGGAACTACAGGTGCGCGCTACCACGCCCAGCTAATTTTTGATTTATTGTAGAGATGAGATCTCACCAAGTTGCCCAGATGGGTCTCAAACCCTCGGGCTCGGGCAAT